ATACAACATGCTTCAAATCGCTTTAAACGATTGTCATTGTAGTGCGTATTTAATGTGGCGCTGCACTACCCACCCCCGTCACACATCGTCACAAATGTCTGACCACCCCCCCACACCCCCACCCCCCCCAGGTGCGTGAGGTCAATTATGGACTGCCCCTAAACCATCCACGCGTGCTCCAACAGAAGAGGCGGCCGCATCGCATCGCGCGCATTCAGATGCGCGACTGTGACCCCGCCCCGGTTCGGCATCGGGCCCTCTCCCCGGGACCCTCGACACGAGCACGCCCCTTGGAGGCGGTGCGCACTTTTAAATCGTCTGGATCGAGAACTTTGTAAACTTCAGAACGCCTCTTTGCCCGTCATGGTGTGTCGCCCCTCACCCCCGCGGCTCCGATTATCACGGTCGGCTTGCGTACGGTGCGGAAGAAGTTCAACGTACAGCCACGTGCGCATTAGGCTGTTCGCGGCAAGTGCTGTTGAGCGAACGCCCGTGGCGTAGGCAGCATCACGCCCGGCCGCCTTTGTCTCCCCAGCCGCGATGATTTCACACGGCACCGGGCACACGCGTAAGGCCGAGTCGTCTTAGAGGGAGAGCCGCGGGGCCGGTCGAGATACTCGCCACTGATGGGAATAAAACGTCAAGTGGCCCCAGCGCAGTGCGCTAACCGCGGTGCCACCGCTCCCCTCCCACGCACGCTCCTTGCAATGGACGCACGCGTACGGTCGAAGAGTGAGACATTCTCTCCAAGTCGGCCAGCCACAAATACGAAACAAAAAACCCCCCACCCAAAAAGCTCCCACACAAGAGAAATAATAAATACATTCAAATGGGATGTTTTGTAACTGAATCCACGCGAGCAACAGGCTGTCTTGGAAATTACACCAGCCGCCTCGCCTGCCAAGGCAAAGGAGGGGAGGTCAGAATTCAAGTAACGGAGTCCACAACATCCATCCACCAACATCACCGCACTCCCTCCCCTACGCGATCGGAACCCTCCCCCCCCCCCACGGCTCCCTCCCTCCCAAGTCTCCTTTTCCTTTTTCGGATGCGGAGGAGGCTTGTTTCCGAGTGTGAGCTTTTTCTCACGCTCTGAGGAAGTGAGAGGGGTTAGGTCTGCGCGCCACGATTTTCCACCCCACACCCTGCGCTGTGTGCCGACACTGCCCAGTGGCAGGACGGTCACTGTCCCTCCCCCTCCACTGTTGACGATCGTCCCACTATTGTTGGGGGTTTTTTTTTCCCTTGTTCAACAAAAAAAAATTGGGTCTCTTTTTTCCCCCCTCCCCCCCCCCATTGCATCCCCCAATTGTGCTTTTCGGCGCCATCACCTCGCGAGACGAAGGCCCATTACGGCATTCGGATGTCTCGGCGGAGCGGCGCAACTCTCCGTGCGAGGAGAGAATGGCCTGCGGAAGTGGGCTTCACAGAGCTAACCGCTCAGAATGGCCTTCGCGCGCCCTCTGATCCACACATTAGGGGGAACAGTAATGTTCATCGCATGACAGCCAGATATCGTGATTTCTCAAAGCTGCAATTTATCCAAATAAGTAAAACAAAAAAATGGCATTATAATGGTTTGATATGCATTCTAATTAGTACGGGGCCCTCTCTTCACCAACCCACAAACTGACCCGCATGAGGATGCCTTGACGCAGCAGTGGATCTACCAAGGGCTGTTGGTTAATTCAGGAGTATTTAGAGAGGGAATTATAATCATTGTTTGTGCATTTGTTTCAGGCGCTTGTCGGTATGTATGTTGAGGAAAGCAGCTAATTAATTTGACTTCGTATTGGACCGCGCTACCGAGGAATCGGCTTCAAATCCCAGCCGGGAGTTGTCTTAACTCTCCGTCTCTCTAGGATCAAGCAATAGTGCTGTTAGCGCGCACCTAAGAAGGCTGGCACGGTACACGAGGGGGTGGCGTTGATAGCAACACGCCCGGACAGCAGGTAGATACACAGAGACAAATATACCTCGTATAGCCTTCAACATGCTGTTGGGGCAAGTGCTGTTAGCGAGCACCTATGAAGGCCTGTACGGCACACTAGAGGGTGGATGGGCAGCACCACGCCCAAACACAGACACACACACACACGCTCTTTAGAGTCAGTGGTGATTATCAAATTGCTCATTTGCAAGGTGTTACCAATGCAACAATGGTTGGCACCATCTACCTTCACCCTTACCTACAAACACGTGTGCATGCCTGTGATGGGCAACGGTTTTTTTCTTTCTGTAATGCGCTCGTGGCGTTTACCAGCTCTGGAAGAGGATGTATTGTCTAATAGTAACCTGTAAGTTGGCTTGACGTGTTATCTAATGGCTTGAGTGCAACACTCCGTGGCGTGCAAATTGCATGGTTCACTGATGATATGGTTGGTGTATATATATACTAAATATATACTGGGTATATATTGTAAGTAAGGTTGTTCTATGTATAAACTCGACCCTGTCATGGGAATGTGGAATCTCCACCACTGGCTCACGGCTGCCAACGGAGGATAAGCACCGCCTCATGCTAATTTGGGTGAGAAAATCACTTTTTTACCCTTTGATGAGGACGAGACTCAAAGCAAGCTCAGACATTTCAGCTCTATGCGTAAAAGGTTATCAACCTCGTTGATAACAAAGTGTTGTTGTTGTTGTTTTTGCGTGCATTGTTCTAGTTATAAACATCGACTCGACTATATTCGGCAAGTCAATCTGTTCGTGTTATTCCACTCGGCGAGAATCTGAGGATTGCAAGGCCCCTTTTACTACGGGTGACCTTTGCCCATAAGTGACGGCAAAAACGGAACGCTACGCTGAAGGGGAACGTGCCAAATTTGAGATGTCTAGCCCTTCCAGAACATTATTGTAATTTAAATCAGTCACTCAAGTCAGTCAACATCACCAGGTCGATGTGCACGTCTCCTTCATGAACGGACAATGAAAGACACGAGCCACAGCGGTGCGATTGTGGCCATGCAGCCAAAGTGATGGACCGTACAGCAAAGCACTGTAAGTCTGCGCTCTTTCAACGGAGGAAGGGCAAAAAACGACGCGAACTCTCAACTCGTGAAGCACTCGCGTGGCTAGCAGACCTCGCCATTAGCGTTCAGCTCCTGAACATATTGCCATACGCAGGAAAAATAATGGGGGGGGGGGGGGGTGTAAAGCAATTCAACCACGATTGTGTCTTGCACTAATTCAACATGCGAAAATTCAGCAGCGATTGTAAGCTTCAACAGAAGATGCGTGACTGAGCTTGGGAGACAAGTTCACCTTGATGGGGGAGATACTCCAGCCCTGCTTGAATATTCAATGAGGGTTTTTTTGTTCGTTCCAATCAATATCTTTTATATTTAGAAGCAGGTGAGAGAGCTCATTGGGCTAGAATGTCAAATTCTCAAGGGAGGACGTGCGATGGGCATTTAATGGAGGGTTTCTGTTTTGTTTTAATATCACAGGAACATTGCGTACGCAGCAAATACTCGGCGGAAGCGTAAGTGCATCCTCCGGTAATGATACGAGACGAGACAAGAAGCCTGCATAGAGTTGAAGGATTGTCTCACGTGGGGGGACGAGAACTTGATGCGGGTCAGAGTGGAGCGGTTTTCTTCTCCCCCTTGTTTTGTACCAAAGTTATTTTTGAAGAAAATTGTCTTTCGCAGCCACCGAATGACCGTGAACGGACAGGGTCGACGCGCACAAAAAATATGCTTCGGCTTTCTCCGACCAATTCATTGCAATTGTGCTATTGGGTGTCCGGTCACGAGGTTGAAGAATCCATTCGGAAATCTCGGCGAGTCGCGTGCGCCAAAGAACGGCTGCCGCAGAGATATTCCACCCGGTCTTCCCCCGATAAATACATCGAGTGGCTTCTTTAAAACTTCACGCACCAGTTTCATCGTTTTTTTTTATTTGTTTAACCGGGTGTAGCACTCGCGCGAAACCGGGATGAGTCTCACTTGCGTCACCAAAAGTGACAGAAGCTAAGCAAATGAAGAACAAAATTGAAGGCAAATAGAAAATCAAACCAAAAACAAAACTACCACAAGAGAAATCGGTAATGGGTGGCACTTCTCCACATACGCCCTAAAATGACATCGGTTTGTTAAATGAGACTCAACCCAATATAATTTTGTGAATTACCACGTTTTTGAATCGAAGCATTTTTTTGCGTGTGAAGTTCAACCAAACCTTAAACTAAACAATGTTTATTTCACCAGGTAAGGACCACTGAGCTATACAGCTCTTTTTCAGAAGTGATCTGGCCACAAACCATAGCTCAAGAGTGGTATGTGACAATTTATAGCAGCCAAATACTATAAATGCATGTTTCCAAATGTGGAGGAAAAAAACAGAGGATCCGGAGATAAATCCACACAACCGTGGTGAAACATGCAAACTCCAAATATCCAGGCCTCAGGGTTGGACTCGAACCCACAAACTCCTGTATACCAGACGAGGTAATTAACATCTCGCCACCGTGGCACCAATGGTGACGGAGTTAAAACGATAAACCTGCTACACCTGAGACCCCAGGTTAATCATGGGTTGGTGCCTGGATTTGCACCCAGGGTCTCAGCGGTGCCAGCTCAGGGCCTCCCGAGTCGCACGGCTACTTCCAGCGCGTGCTGCGTCATGATGCGAGCAAACGGGCTCAACGCAGCGTCAAGGAAGTCGCCTGCGGCATTCTGGAAGTCGACAAGTCAAAGTGGAAGGGCGGGAATGTTCTTCGGAGTAAATGAAGGGGAAACGTCATTGTACGTGCATTGGACAACCCCTGCTCATTTTCCGCAAGATGGCATGGATTTGAGCAATCTCGATGGAATAACGGGATGATTTAATCTTGGAAGAAATTTTAACTCATAACCTATATGGATGTGATACACAGGTGTTCTTAACCACAGCACCACCCAGGCAGTCAACGGTATAGGAGTGCTTATAACAGCGGCAGTGTACGCATTAACCGACACAAACACGATTTCATCAAAAGGCAGCAAAAGGAACTGTAATGGCATCGAAGGCATTTTTATTCTCATTTTCAGGACAAAATATCATAACAAATTCCATGGCGCTTAAAAAGCACTGCATCGTGATACAGAAAAAGGACTCCAACACTTTTTCGCAACGGATTCCAGAGATTACGCTGCCTCCAAGTTTTCCAGAAGAGATTTACAAAAAAATATATATACGTATATGTTGACCTGAAGCAGGCTGCTCAGTTGTACGAAGAAGTTGTGTTTGAAAGCACCAATACTATTTACCAATAAGAGCCATTTGCAGCAGTGTGGATTTACTGCAATGCACGCACTCAAAACACTTGCGTTAGGGACATTCTGTTGACGAGCAATATTAACTTTGTACAGCGCCAGAAAGTGTGTGTTGCCAATTTCCTGCGCAAAACTTATACGTAAGTTTGGCAGTTTACTGCGTGAATGGAATTTTTTTTTTAAACAAAATACTCTCATATGCGAGTGCTACCTTTCACAAGACCGTATGAACAACATTGCCTCGCTTTAAAAAAATGTTGCGGCCCCGGAAAAAAAAAGTGTTTAAAGGAAGCTTTTACCATCAAAAGGAATTATAAATCCATTGTCATCCACACTTTACTTCAGTGTGGCACAAGTTTTGGTACTTGATAATGAACATTTGAAATATAAACAATGATGGCATTAAACTCCGTGTTGTGATTTCCGATTGTTTCAAAGTACGAATGGCTGGCGTCACTTAAGTTAATATTCAAGGTTTAACATTTGCCTACGCATCTCTTTATGCCACACGTTATGATCGGGACGATTAGAAATATATGGAAGTTCTCAGGTTATTTAGCTTAAATAAAAAATAATCATCATGTCTTAAATGGAATTACGTAGGGTAACAGCAAAAACGTCAACCCACAACCATTAAACTCGCCCAAGACAACAACGACGCACTCGGGAGCAATAGCAAAAGTACCATTCCCCAAAAAGTGAGGGCTTCCACAGATTTCTAACGGCCATGCCTCCTCACCTCCCCCCCCCCCCCCCCCCCCCCCAAAAGAACTCAACTCTCACCAGCATTACATCATATCAGATATAGCAACCGGCATGCACTGTAACGTTTCCGCGTCGCTGACGTTATCGGTCCGCGTCCGAGTTTCGGCGGCGGGACGACGAACCGAGGCCACCTTTGACCGCCGAAAGATTTCGCAATTTGGCCACAGCAGGCGTGGTGGTCAACAGGAGGGATGGGGCGCCAACTGTGCAACGGGGGACAGAAACTGCGATCGCATCTAGGAGCCGCCTCCAGCTGCGCGCAACAACAACAAAAAAACCGCGTCGGACTTTTAGACAACATGACTGAGCGTCATGCTGCCCAGGTGGTCCGTACTTTTTATTACCCCCCCCCATCGCTATCGTTGGAAGTTGCGCGTCGACCTAGAAATGGTGGCGCGTTGTGATGTAACAATCACCGAATGTTTTGGTTTGGGGGGGGGGCATGGACTTTTACGGTCACGTTATCGTTCACGCACGACAATTCGTGTTGCGATCACATCATGAGCATGCATGCAAGTACTTGCTTGAAAATACGCCTTTTTTTGTAAGTGCTACACTTCGTATACTTTTTTTTCAATTACAATCCAATCAACATTTTTAGTAGGATAAACGTGACACTGTAAAACTTAAAGTGTTGGTCAAATGGTGCCATGTTTTAATTTGTAAAACCATTAAAAAACCAAAGTCTATAATGGCACACTCACAAACACGTTTGTTTTAACCGCCATAAACACAATTTTTCAGCACGCACAGCTGTCGAAGCACTGACACAATGCTAATAATCACGTAATAAACGCCGTTAATTCTCGCAAGACTTGGCGGCTGCCAACAATGACGAGGATTAAGATCGGTGAAAGATTGGGAGAAAAAAAGGCAGTTGTGTTTGAAACGTCACCACGATCCTCTCCATGCACCGTGGTGAAATGCGATAAATTTGCAGCGCGCACTTTTGAAAGTCCAACCATTTTTAAAAAACCACACACCTCGGCCAAGTACTTCATCCTCTTAATGCTCATCGTGAAATGGACTAAACGGGTCAACGTCTTAACACCTGAACGTTCCGTTTAAAACAAAAACAGTTGTGCGTAAAATATATATTTGGAAGGAACAAGAAATATTCCCGAAAACGCAATAATTTTCAAAGCTGTTTTCATTTTTATCCCACCCGAGAGAATGTTTATCCTCTGGCAAGCAAGCTTCTCTTAAAATTATCATTTCCACCTTGCACTCTTTCATGTTAAGAGCTCACATTACACCAAGTGCTGCCGTCTGCGCTTTAAACATCAAATATCAACTTTATATTTAGTTGCGACATTGCGAGGTTGTTACGCCATTGTTGAGCCTAAAGGTTACTGCTTAAAATCTGCAATTTAAGTGATTGGTTGAGTGATAAAGGCAAGTCATGTTTTAAAGCCAATTGTCTTTAAAATTACACACTTATAGAAAATCGCTTCACTTTGGAAAAAGGCAAGAAAGTTGTACGTATCAAGGTCACCAAATAGCACTTTCACATCCTTGAAAACAGTAACTGAACCCAGGCAAGTGACCAACCCAATGCCAAACCTCGACTCTGGTATCACATTAACAGGATGCACTGGGCTGTACCAAGAGGGAAAACGACAGGAAGGAAAGTGAAATTCAAGAACAACTAAACTACGACCAAATAAGCCACTTGGAGGTGTTTTTTTTTTCTTTTTCTCCAGAGTAAACTGCGGTGCCGGTATTGTCACAATGGAGACGAGAGCAGCGCGCGATCTGGGCACCGTGCTGTTGGCAACCAAAGAAGCAGGCACACAGCACGTGCCCCCTCGGCCTCGACGGGACGTTGCCGATTGAGTCCGGCGTGCGACGAACAAGAGGAACCGTTTGCGGGGGGGGGGGGGGGGCATGGGGTGTGGGGGTGGTGGTGGCACAAGCCCACCTGCCTCGCTGGGACCCAGATGAAGGTAATAACTGCGCTGCCTCTGTCACATCAGCTCGAGCAGGCCCTGTTCCGGACGAGACTGAACGGGTTGGAGAGGAGGTCACGGGCAGGTGGGCGCGCGCACGTGCAGGCACCTATTTACACCGGCTGGGCAGCCAAATCGGAGAGTCCCGCTTCCCGTCTCTCGCCCAGGGTTGTTTATTTCTCGCCGTACGGATACGTGGAGCCAAGCCGTTATTTCGACTTGCGGCTATTTCATAAAAATGTACGTCGGTCCGTTTAGCGCGGAGCGGCAGGGTGAACCTGCGGAGGGGGCACATGCAAACTACACAGCCGGGTCCTTTTATTCTCTTAAGAGCAAACAATCATATTTATTACGAGTACCTTCGTGTTCACCGAAATACCATTTTATATATAATGTATAAATATATACAAACATGGCCTTTCAGTTTCCTTAAAAAGCATCAATTATCCCTACACCGCGCATTCAAAAAAAGTCGAGAAGAAAAAAATATACATTATCACCTCCGCCTGCGGAAGATTATGGAAAGAAAATACAAAATGGTTTTTTTTCTGTACGATTGTCTTGCCAGTATATCAACACTTTTTAATTGGAATGTGCCAAGTTGGACAGCCAGTCACAAGGGCCAAGACAGCAGCAGCCACCACTGCCCAAAATAAAATAAACCCACGCACTCCGAGGCTGCGTTCGCGGCAAGAGATAACCTCGCAGTGGCTACGTACGTCAGTTGTCTGACACGCGGATTATAACTTCAATGGCTAGCAGAGCACGAAGTTGCTGATATTTTTTCTCTTTCATAAATCTCGGCTACGCACTGCCATTACGATGTCAAGATAATCGCGGCATAGCGAGCAACAACAACAACAAAAGTTGGCAAATTCTTTTTGGCTGAAAAGTTAATAGGAAGTATTTTTTTTCTACATTTCACTTGTTTTTTTTTTTTACCCATTGCAATAATCTGTGGGTTAATTAACGGTAATTAAAAAAACTAGACGATTAACAAATCTTTAGTTTTAATCGTTCAAATGAGCATGGTTTACAAGGCCCACGAATATATTTTTTACGCGTAAGTTTTGGGAAGCAACATTATTATTTTTTTTAATCTGCAGATACGGTACTAAAGATCTTTAATCCGTATCGGCAGACAGCAGGGAGTAAAACTTCGTCGCATATTTGAGACGTTAATTGGGCCACTTATTTAAAACAATTATAAACACAACGCAGTGCGTTAAAAAGGAATCGTTACTAATTTTTGAAAACATTTATATTCAACGGCCTGCATGATCAACCACGTTTAAAAATAAATGTTTGCTTTGAACTTTTCCTGAAAGAAAAATAAATACGAAGAAATGCAATAGGCTGAAGGGATATTTTGAAGTTCTAGCTACAATCATGCGTACAATTAATATCAAGGCGTCAATGGTTATGTACAGTGTTTTGACAAATGATCAACAAAATGCAATTAAAACCTGGAGGCTGGTTAATTTTTCTTTAAAATGTGATGAATAATCACTATACCACAACACACTTTACCTTTGAAGCTTCGACATTTACGATTAGCCAGCTTGGCAAAAACATGTTTGATTTCAAATTCAATTTCAAAGCATATGGCAACTTGTGTGTTTAAGCAAATACAAAATTACAGCGAAGGCTTACATCTGCACTACGTTGTATGTATATATATTTTTTTAATCAAGCAGTTGCAAAACACCTGCCCCATTAATAATGCTCCACTTGTAAAACACTATTTTAAACATTTAAAAAAAAATTAACATTCAGAACATTGTCAAATAAACATGAACCGATTAATAATGCTCAATAGTGTTCAATTAATCATCTTCAAAATTTGGGCCACAACATTAAAAACGAATAGAAAACATCCCCTAGCGTTCTCTGCAGCAATTGTAAATGCTAGTTCACGTAATATTTATTTTGATCAGCCGCACAGCGCATTGTGAACTAGGCGACCACAGAGGTGGGAGTCGGTGGGTGGCATCTTGCACACGAAGGAAGCGCAAACAGGAATACGATGAACTGAAAAATGCTTCGTTGTCACCACGTACGTACACATGTTTAATTTCTTTCGCACCGTACGTAGCCAACCGTGCTAATCGGGTGGTGCCATGTGAAGACGCAAGGACCCAAAGTCTTCAAATGTCCTCTACGTTCCTCTCATGGCAACTTAACTCTTCCAACCAAACGCAGCTCAAAAAAGTAATGTGTTTCACATATACGTTTTGTGTTAAAAGTACATTTTTTTACACGTATATCTGGTCTCTTTTATTTACACGTGTCTTGAATTTCGTTAGCGGTCAAGAAAAAGTAGCAAAACGTGATAGCACGTTACAGAGACATTTTAAGCAAAATGTTGCTTCTTTCGTCACAGGTAAAAAAAAATTACGAGGCCTCCAGAAATGGTAGAGCCCACACAAATGACTTCATGGTTACCCCATGACCTGTTGAAGACTGGTAACAGTACCAATCTCCTACGTCCAGGATTCTCCCACGACAGGAAGCCACGCCAAGCCATCTACGAGGAGCTAACCAATCGCCGTTAAAAAAAACGCACTTTCTAATTCATTAACCATTTTCATCCCATTGCCTTCGTAATTGTATTTTTCTTTACATTCGCCATCACAACTTCCTACTTCCATTTTCCACACCGAACCTCACGTGACCAAAGCGGCTTCATCGCCGTTGGGCCAAGCGATGAACGCACCCCCCCCCCCACCACCACCACCACCACCACGCTCTCGAACCGCCTCGGGTACCCCCGTCGGCGGCCGCGAGACCACGGCAACGGACGCGGCAGGAGGAGGCAGATAGAAAGACAACCGCCGCGGGCAGCCAGCGGTCGAGCTTTCTTCAGGCGGAGCCAAGCGAGTCGAGCTTGAACACGTTGTGGTTCGTGGGCGTCGTGAAGAACAGCGCGGCCTCCCCGCCGCTGCCTCCATCTCCCGCCCCGCCCTCTCCGCCGCCCTTCGTCGCGCCCGGGCGGTTGTCGCAGGGCGGGCTGCCCCTGCTGCCGACGCTGTTGCCGCTGCTGTTGCCGCTGCTGCTGCCGCTGCTGCTGCTGAGCCCCAGCGTGTGCTCGAAGTCCAGCAGCTGCCCCATGAAGTTGAAGTTGGGCGAGATGTTGGCCTTCTTGTTGCGCACGAGGTCGTAGGCGTCGTTCAGCGAGAGGTTGAGCGTCTGCATGAGGTAGGCGACCGTCACCGTGACGGAGCGGCTGATGCCGGCGAGGCAGTGGACCAAGACGCCGCACTTCTTCTGCCGGGCCTCGTCTGTGCCGTCCGCGCGCAACCACGGAGATCGCCAGGGGCGGGCAAAACAGCAGCAAGGAGACAATGGGCAAGGTGGGGGTTTGGGAGAAAGACGGTCGAGTTAGAATACGTCAGTGGCGAACGCAGTCGAAAAACAAACACGAAGCCGTGCCGGGCGTTTTATTTTCGAAAGCCGCGTTTGGATATCGATATTTTGGCAAAAGAGGGGCATTTGTTTTTACATTGTGGTAACTTATTTGAGCAAATCGTGTCGACGACGATGTTGAACAGAGTTTGCGGACCTCGGGCAACCAATGTAGAAAATGACCACCATGTAAGATGGAGCATTGAGATCAGTTTGTGTGAAACAAGCAAGATGAGTCGTGGTTGCTAGCATTTTCAACTCAAAGATGTTGGAAAATTAGTCCGCAAATGCATCCATAAGTTTGTATACTTGCTCAGCATTGATGCAGCAGGGACAATGAGATAAAGAATTCACAGCTGGAGTGGCTTGCATTGCGGGATGTAGGCACGAAATGGAGAAACCCATTTCTGTGAATGCTTGTTCGTCAAAACCAATCAAGCAGCCCGAGGTCAGATAACAACACCTCAAGCAGCCATATAGCAAGTAGACAATCATTTGGAGGTACGTGGTGGGGTGGTGGATCAAGTACCAGTAGCTGAGATGCCAGTAGGTGCTAGTACAGAAATGAGGATGTTGACCAATCTATGTTTATATTTCCATGTTACAACCTTCCACGTGTGTTTTTCTATGATGTGTAAACAGTGGTAAGTTGTTTAGAGAAAATACAAACAGATCATTCAATATTTGAGAATATCTTTTTTTTTTAACGGTCACAGACAGACGGAGAAGAACACTTGCAGAATGCTGCCGAAATTAATTATTGCGACCGGAAATCAAACCTCTGTCTGCTGACGCTCTCAAAAAAAGATACTGAAATCCATTTGTTATATAAATGAATGGAGACCCTTTATGGGACCTCTCTCCAATAACAAGGCGCATATTTATCCGGAACGTGTGTGCACAGCCAGAAGGGTTGAAATTATAAATATATTGAGTGAGCTAGAGGGAGAGAAGAGAGCCCAGGCAGGATGAGGTGACAGATTGGAGCCAGATCCTGAGCATACATGGCAGAGACGATAAAATAGAGAGCATGCAGGGAGGGACGGAGGTGGGGAGAGTTCGAGGGAGGGAGAGAGAGAGGGTGTGACCGGCAAGAGAGGGGAAGCCACGTTGTGGCAAAAAGATTCCTGGCGTCAGGCTGTGGGCTCGATTTACTACCAGGATTTCCCGATGCTTTTGAAAAGCCGGAAAAGCCAGAGTAGGGGGAAGGCCGGCATCCGAATGAGGCCAAGTTACAAGCACGTACGCGCAGGCACACGCGCGAGCCCGCGTACAGTGCACGAGCACATACGCAAGGACGTGGACCTGTGTGCACGGCCGCATCCGCGCGCTTGCGGACGCACGAAAATGCATGTACAGTGAGGGGAAAACATAATTTGATCCCCTGCTGATTTTGTACGTTTGCCCACTGACAAGAAATGATCAGTCTATAATTTTAATGGTAGGTTTATTTGAACAGTGAGAGACAGAATAACAACAAAAAAATCCAGAAAAACGCATGTCAAATTTTTTTAAAATTGATTTGCATTTTAATGAGGGAAATAAGTATTTGACCCCTCTGCAAAACATGACTTAGTACTTGGTGGCAAAACCCTTGTTGGCAATCACAGAGGTCAGACGTTTCTTGTAGTTGGCCACCAGGTTTGCACACATCTCAGGAGGGATTTTGTCCCACTCCTCTTTGCAGATCTTCTCCAAGTCATTAAGGTTTCGAGGCTGACGTATGGCAACTCGAACCTTCAGCTCCCTCCACAGATTTTCTATGGGATTAAGCTCTGGAGACTGGCTCGGCCACTCCAGGACCTTAATGTGCTTCTTCTTGAGCCACTCCTTTGTTGCCTTGGCCGTGTGTTTTGGGTCATTGTCATGCTGGAATACCAATCCACGACCCATTTTCAATGCCCTAGCAGAGGTAAGGAGGTTCTCACCCAAGATTTGACGGTACATGGCCCCGTCCATCGTCCCTTTGATGTGAAGTTATCATGTCCCCTTAGCAGAAAAACACCCCCAAAGCATAATGTTTCCACCTCCATGTTTGACGGTGGGGATGGTGTTCTTGGGGTCATAGGCAGCATTCCTCCTCCTCCAAACACGGCGAGTTGAGTTGATGACAAAGAGCTCCATTTTGGTCTCATCTGACCACAACACTTTCACCCAGTTGTCCTCTGAATCATTCAGATGTTCATTGATTAAAATTCAGACGGGCATGTATATGTGCTTTCTTGAGCAGGGGGACCTTGCGGGCGCTGCAGGATTTCAGTCCTTCACGGCGTAGTGTGTTACCAATTGTTTTCTTGGTGACTACGGTCCCAGCTGCCTTGAGATCATTGACAAGATCTTCCCGTGTAGTTCTGGGCTGATTCCTCACCGTTCTCATGATCATTGCAACTCCACGAGGTGAGATCTTGCATGGAGCCCCAGGCCGAGGGAGATTTACAGTTATTTTGTGTTTCTTCCATTTGCGAATAATCGCACCAACTGTTGTCAGCTTCTCACCAAGCTGCTTGGCAATGCTCTTGTAGCCCATTCCAGCCTTGTGTAGGTCTACAATCTTGTCCCTGACATCCTTGGAGAGCTCTTTGGTCTTGGCCATGGTGGAGAGTTTGGAATCTGATTGATTGATTCTGTGGACAGGTGTCTTTTATACAGGTAACAAGCTGAGATTAGGAGCACTCCCTTTAAGAGTGTGATCCTTATCTCAGCTCGTTACCTGTATAAAAGACACCTGGGAGCCCGAAATCTTTGTGATTGAGAGGGCGTCACCAAGTACTAAGTCATGTTTTGCAGAGGGGTCAAATACTTATTTCCCTCATTAAAATGCAAATCAATTCATAACATTTTTGACATGCGTTTTTCTGGATTTTGTTGTTGTTATTCTCTCTCACTGTTCAAATCAACCTACAATTAAAATTATAGACTGATCATTTCTTTGTCAGTGGGCAAACGTACAAAATCAGCAGGGGATCAAATACTTTTTTCCCTCACTCTACTTGCTAGCACACATACACACACTCGCATTTGTTTGTGTTTAGTCTATTGTCTTTCCCCCGCACCTCTGATTAGCACGCTTGGCTATGTACGGTGCAAAAGAAGTTCAACACGCACACATTTAGCCTTTAACAGACTGTTGGGGCAAGTGCTTTTAGCGGGCACCTATAAAAGACTGGCATGGCACACGAGAGGGGGTAGAATAACCAGCACCATGCCAGGCCTTCCCCTTTCTCCCCCGTGCTGAAGTGTACACAACCGCACCAAATTCTCATTTATAGCCGAGTACCCGGTAAAGTGTGCAAACACAACACCAGATGCTCGTTTGAGGCCGAGTTGACCAAGCTGAGGCCCAAAAAGATTTCAGAAATCACTCCACTTGTATCTGCACCAGGTACTCATCAGGGAGGACAAAGACCTAGTTATATATTAATTTCCATTTATGTTAGCAGTGGTTGGTAATCTAACTCAGCTGACCATTACACCACTGCACATTAAGACAAAGACCCCTCATATAGCCTTTAACAGACTGTTGGGGCAAGTGCTGTTTGCGAGAAGCACCTATAAAAGCCGGAATGGCACAAAAGTGGGTGGGTGGCCAACACCACGCCTGACCACCTTTGTCTCCCCAGTGGCGATGTTTTTACACACCGCACAAGGTACTCATTTGAGGCTGAGTCGACCTAGGGGAGGCCCATGACCAGTTCAGATAATTGTCACTGGTTTTGGCTGTGAGCGGGAATCAAACTCGGGTCACCATGTTCGTACTGCAGCGCACTAACCACTGCGCCACCATTCCCCATACTGCACATTATACTCACTCGTACATAACATACATGCGTTTATTGCATGTTATATATGCAGGTCCGGAAAACATTGCTTGGAAAAGAGCTTTAGTTAAACCCACCCAGAATTATCGTTAGACCTATTTACAAGCCCCGTAATTTGTCCATAATCATATCATATAATAAACGCACGGCTGTTCGTGCTTCTATGCCATGTTGAAATTAGAAATAAAACCATATGAGCCCATGTCCATTTTCAATAGCCACCACTCAATAACAACCTACGTTCAGGATATGACGTACGAGGCCGTACACAGCCAACGTGGGTCTCGTGGTGAGGGACTGACAAACGGCATGAAACCAACTTCAGTTACTTAACGTTAATGCACTGCCGTGGCGATTATTATCAAACAGACTGCCAATTTGCGTGAACACAATACATCCTGTTAATACTGTTCCTTCCTGAACGCAATTGTTACTTGTAATTTTTGGGACCAACAATCGCCGTCTGGAAGGCGACGATAATGATGATTTTAGTTACGATATTGAAGATGACAGCCATGATTACCGACATAAAATAATGCCATGTATGTACCCAATCAAGCCTAAGTTAAGAGATATTATTTTAGGAATGTCCTAAAATTGGGATTTTGAGCCCATTTTATGAACTACCTTGGGTTCTGTTCAGCGTTAAGAGCCACATTGACATTTCGCTGTCTATTGATAAGCCTGCTGGCTGTGGCGTTTATCGCAATGGGAGGCTTTAATCAGAAGCGATTGTCCAATTACACGCATGAATGTAACACGCCCCATGAAATACACACTGCAAAAGGCACATACTTCCACGTACACAATCGGCTAATTTATAAAGCAATTTTGTAAATCTAGCGATCAAAAATAATAATAAAATGCGGCGGCTTTTACCTGGATTAAAAATACGTAGCTTTTTATGTTTACAGTGCCAAGCAAAAAAAAAGGCAGAGGAAAAATCCAAGTGGAAAAATAATTCAGCTCATAGAGCTAAGCCACCTCCACCGCAAAAGCGCATGCACGCGCTCGCTTCAAACACCGCTAAACGAGAGCGTCTTGTCAAGTGGCTTTCT